AGAACCTCCCCACCCTCCCAGCCAGCAATTCCTTCCCAGTATCCCATCTAACCCTGTGCTTTGCCCATGTGAAGCCATTCCCTGTGTGCTGTCCCTCCATGCCTTGTCCCCAGTCCCTCTCCAGCTCTCCTGAAGCCCCTTTAGGCCCTGCCAGGGGCTCTCAGCTCTCCCTGGAGCCTTCTCTTGTCCAGGGGAACCCCCCCAGCTCTCCCAACCTTCAGGTGGGTTGTGTTGAACATTCCAGATGAACATGGGAAGGGTCCCACGGGTGATCCCAGCCTTAACCTTTGCTTGGAAACCTTCTTCCTTCCCGGAGAGCCAACCCTACTCATCCAGAAAAGCTGCTGGGATGGAGTGTTTGGTGCAAGGGTGGGAAAGAGAGTGCAGTGAGATGGTTGAGTGGGCTCACAGCACCCCAAAAATTAATTCTCTTTGCTGCCTTGTTCCCAGCGAGCCTCCTGCTTCCCTTCCCTGAACTGATGGCTTGGGAATGACAGGTTTTTTTTGGGATCTGGATGTGATGCTGATGATGCAGGATTGGATATTCCCACGTCTGTAGCTTCACTTTCTGTCTCTATATCTTTCTTTTTGGGAATAGGAGCCACCTGCTTTAGTGGAAGGTGTCCCTGCCCATGGCAGGGGGGTGGAATGAGATGATCCTGAAGTTCCTTTCCAACCCAAACCAGTCTCTGCTCCATCATTTCTACTCCCACCGAGAAGCTCTGCATGGCCGAGCCCTGAGTTCCTTTGCATGGAGGAGATTCTTTACCCCCAGTTCCACATTATCCAGGAGTTTCTTTCCCCAAATCCCCCGTTTTCCCTTCCCAGCCCATCCCTTTGCCCTCCCTGCTGGCTGAGCCGAGCGGGACCCTCGCCCCGGGCGTGAGGTTGGCAAACCTTCCTTCATCCCGAAACTCCTCTTTCTTCACCCCACCTCCTTCCCAGCCCAAAGGCCTCAGAAGCACAATTAAAAATATAGAAAATAAACATGTTTCCAAGGCCTGTCCATTGGGCCCTTTCATCTTTTCTTCCCCTTTTCTTTTTTTTATTCCCCCACCACATGTCAACAGAACACACCCCTGCTCTCCGGATTTTCGGGGAGAAGGGGACGGTTCCTTCAGCTTTAAGGCCCGGCCAACAAGTTTTAATTCCCTGTTCCCTCCAACATCTCCAAAGGACAAGAGCCTCTTGTATGCAAATTTCCCCCTCTGATCTTTCCTTTCCCTCCCTTCCCTTCCCTCCCTCCATCCCAAGCCTTGGAAAAAGCTCTTCCTCGTCCCCGCTCACGACTCTGGCGTGTTGTTGAAAGGTGGTGGAGCCTTTGTGGCGCCTCTTCCCTGAGCACACACACACACACACACAAAAAAAAGCAAAATAAAATAACAGTTCCAGCTTTATTTTAAAAGAAATCAAACTGGGAATCTAAAGAATAAGTTGGGTTTGGTTTGTTTGATCCCCTTTTGTTGCATTAAGGACTCGTGCCGGGACGCCGGGACCGATGTTTGAGCCCCTGGTTAAAATAAATCTGCTGCAGGGGGGTTGGAAATGGGGCAAAATCAGCATTAAAAGGACATTTTCCCGCTTTAAAACCTTGAAAAAATTAAAAAAATTGAGATGAAATCAGATATAATCTCATATAACAATCATATATTAGCAACTTGGTTATTATACCTGAAATCCCTCTGTTGAACCTGCTTGTGTTGGAGTTACTCTCACCTATATTTGATATTTTGGAGTGACATTTATATATTATATAATAATATTTATTCTATAATTTTTTAGACTTGTACTTACCTAAATGTGATTTTTTTAAAAATATTTTTTTAGACTTGCGCTTACCTAAATGTGATTTTTTTAAAATATTTTTTTAGACTTGCACTTACCTAAATGTGATTTTTTTAAAATATTTTTTTAGACTTGCACTTACCTAAATGTGATTTTTTTAAAATATTTTTTTAGACTTGCACTTCCCTAAATGTGATTTTTTTAAAAATATTTTTTTAGACTTGTGCTTACCTAAATGTGATTTTTTTTAAATATTTTTTTAGACTTGCACTTCCCTAAATGTGATTTTTTTTTTAATATTTTTCCAAACTTTTACTTAACTAAATGTGATTTTTTTAATATTTTTTTAGACTTGCACTTACCTAAATGTGATTTTTTTTTTAAATATTTTTTTAGACTTGCACTTACCTAAATGTGATTTTTTTTTAATATTTTTTTAGACTTGCACTAACCTAAATGTGATTTTTTTTTTAGAATGACATTTATATATTATTTTTTTGAAGAGCTGCACTTACCCAGATGTGATTTTTTTTCCCAAGTGTCATTTATTCCTAATTGATTATTTTTCAGCCTTGGACTTTTACCTATATAGAATTATTTTGCAGTTGCACTTTAGATGTGATTTTTTTTGGGGGGAGGTACCACTTTCCTGTACTTATTCCACATATTCCACATATTTCACACCCGTCTCCTGCCGTTTTCCAGGTGCCTGGAGCCCAGGATTTGGTGGATTTCTCCCCAGTTTATCGCTGCCTGCACATCTATTCTGTCCTGGTGAGTGACCCATGGGCTGATTTATTTATATTTATTTAT